TCATCTAGTTCCTGCACACGACTCGATTTCATTGCTCCATCTCATGCACGGAGGACCGCTCGGATGTGTTCTCGATGGTGGCTTGCAGAAATTTGCAATTCACGAACTCAAATTACATTTTGGATTGATAAATTCAGAATTAAAAAATCATGGATTGTATTCCACTGTTGTGCATGCCGATGCCATGACATGCAAGTTGTTCTCTGCGAATTATAACGCTGTAACATTATGGTTCCATCACCACTCCACATGGTGCAGTGCGGCCCTGTGGAAGAGCAGTGGCAGTGTGTTCCAGGAGATGCAGGTGCTTTTGATGTGAAACCATACTGCTCTGGCTACAAGTTCAAAGTCAGACCTGGTCTGCCGTCCCATTAGATTTATCTGCTGCTTCAACCCTTTGGAATGCTCTTAAGCAGAACCAGGCGCTCGCACGGGTGAGATTTTTTTTTTTCAAATAATAAAACATAATAGGTATGAGTGTAAATAAGAATTGCTAAAGTATAGTATTGCAAATTATAGCATACCACATTGGATATAAGTATGACGACGTTTTATCCAGTAGAATTTCCTAAAATATTGTTCCTCTATCAATTAAACACCCCCCCTTCCCCCTTTTTTGACAACCCTCCACAAAACACGTTGCTTATAAAGGTACAGCTCACAACTCCCCCTTGCAAATTTCCAAATGTTGTCACTGAAAACATGTGCATGGCACCTGCTGCTGGGCCATCCTCGCACGCTGGGCCCAACGTTCAAAGGCTGCCAAATGGATGCACGCAGCTGCGTGCGAGCCGCTCCCCCGTCACTTCGGTCCCAGCATAGACCACGGGCTACACAACTCCAGGCCATTGGCAGTGCCAAGGATATTTCTCGATATCAACCGCTCATCGTTTCAGCGTCACAACTGAGCTACCGACTTCCCGTTTGCTCATTTCATAAGGATGCTACTGAAGGGGAAATTAACCTTTTGTGGACGCCGTTTTGTTTAGACAATGTCCCCACTGCCGGTGCACTAAATATGCTCAAGTTACACAGTATTAGCGAATAAATCTAGTCAACTTGCTCCGATTAAAATAATACAAATGCCACATTACACTGTGCACACGTGTGTATGAGAGGCATTACCCACAAATGTACCTTAGCACAGACAACTGGGTGTATGTATGGTTGTATGTATGTTGAACCTCTTTCGCATCGTACGTAGCCAACAATCGGAGGTGCGGGGGAAAGGACAACGAGCAAAAAAAAGCCTTGCGCTACCTCCGTTACCAGATTGTGACATGTTGACCAGATATGACACGACACGCATAGATGCCATCCTGGCCACATCGTATTCGAATTATCAGAAGTTCATGGGTCCCATTGTTCCACAGGCCATGGACACCCCGACAGGTTTCTACCCGATGCCGTCCTCCCACTGCTGTTTCTGTCGAGATGTGCAGCGCGTTGTACTCGTGAATGTTCTCCTGTCGAGCCCTCTTGACACCCCCGTGCTCACGTATGCATACTGCAAGCCATCAATAACGACCTTGTAAAACCACAACCCATTAGTGTCAAAAAGAATTGGACTGGAAGCCACGTGGATTTTGTCGTTGCCTAAACGGGTTGAAATTATAAGACTAATATTATTTAAAAAATAAGAAGTTACATCCGTATTTTGCCTTTCTACAGGGTAGCAAATTCCCACAAAAAATTGTATGGCGAGCTGCGGTGCATGCTCGATTATAGCTGCCGTGCATGTGTGTGTATGACATTAAAATGCACTTAGGCCAAATTGATACCGTCAGCCTCCGTGTTATAGCAACTTTTTCTGCGATGCTATTTGTAAAACAAATGACTGGAATTACGCCCTTTGTAACGCACTCCTGCCAACATCTGAACGCTGGCTAATATTAACACGCACGGTGCGAGCTCAGCAAGTTAACAATTTACTCTATAGCGATGTTTTAGCAAACGTGATGTTACGGGGGGGGGGGGGGATCTAGACAATGTTCACTGTAAATCCTACACAGCTCACATGCAATGAACTTGAAAACAAATCGTCAGCCACTGGTAGCAGAAACGCGACGTTGCCCGTGACATGAGAGCAGTCTCGGAAGACTGTCGTGCTGCCTATGAAAGGCAGGATATCCTTTTTTGCGAAAAACACGTGGCGTTTTAACCCAACAGACGGCAATGGAAGATATTTACAAAACACGCGTAACAAAGGTCACCGGACGGTCTAGCCAACTCTTACGCCACGTTGCTTATAACTATATGTATATCAACGCTGCGCGACATATAACAATTGATAAACGACACGGTTATCAAATGTTGCATTCACATAGCTATGACTGACCAAAATCCGGTCACATGGTGCACTCTGCAAAGTATAAAATGGCAAAATGAGGAAAAGGATGTATATATATATTTTTCCCATTCTGATCCTTATTTATGGTGGTAAGTATCTTAGCTATAAATATTGTAGCAACATTTTCAAATGCAATGTTTCATTTATTGGAAGAAAAAAATAAAGGTTTCCCTAGCCTGGGTAGGCTGCAATTCCTGCCCGTAATCCCTGGCCTGGCTTATGTGAGCTCTTTGGGGCGTAGCTGTCTCTTCAATGAGATGGAGAGGAGTAGGGAGATGGGGTGTGTGTGTGTGGGATAAAATCTCGGGTCAGAGTCACTCATGTGGACGGACTGTAGGAACGGTTGAAATGTAAAAAAACACAGAAGGAACAAAGAAAGTTCCGTTGAGGTTATGAACGCTGAACGCAAAAGTTGGGACAGAATGTGACGCAACAAGGGAACGCAATGCCGACGGTGGTCCAGACTTCGCCGCAACTGCAGGCTTACGGCACCACTGCACAAGGCGAGTAGAGAGGGAGAGACACGGGGTGGGGACCGCTTAAAGTTCTGTACAGCTGAAGGCCACAGCGTTGCGTCTTTGTCATGACAACCACCGGTAAAGGGCATTACATTTTCCACCAGCTCGTCGGGACCCGTCTATAAAATGCCGTCCTTAAGCGGAACAATACACGTATACGTAAAACAGCAACAAACCAAGTCGATCGTAAAAGACCTTGGGCAACTTTCCTTGTTTGTTCAAAAGGTGCGCGCACAGGACAAGGCCACCTTGGCTCTGCACAAGCGAATCCAAAAAAAAAACACGTGGCGGAGGAATGAATAATTTAGTCAATTCGAACGTTAAAAAAATAATCCCAACGATACTTAAACCTTACGTAAGACTGGAATGCAAAGGTAATCCACGTCAAGCACGGTTTCACACAAGAACAATTTTAATGGATTAAAAATTAACGGCTGCTTGCTCGGTCAGGGGCAACTCTGAACAGAAACAGCCAAAAGACAAACATGCAACTCACCTTATGTGTCACCATGCCCGACTCAAGAGTGCAGTTAAATTACTTGCGACTTACTCAAACCATAGGTAAAACGTGTGTATTTTTGGTACAAAGGTAAAAAAAAAGTAAAGATTTCAAAATGCCTTTTATATTTTGTACACAGACCATCCTGGGTTTACTTTCGTGGTGGGTACTGTAAATATTGAACAATCCCCGTGTATTTAACCCAGCATAACCTGAGAGGTCATCCAAATGCGCCGAAAGCACTTTACAGAACATGGAAATAACTGTGCCCTATTTGCAATTGCAAGCAAAAAACCTATTGCGTGATACACCTAAAAACATAAAATATCTCGTTAGATTGTATTTGCAAGTATATGTGCCTACGTTGAACAATGTGTTATTCTGATCTACTGCCAATTAGAACAGCAATGTTTGATTAAGAGAGTAACATAACATAGCCCCTCGTCAGCCTTATCATCTTCAGCTCCTGATGATGTAAGCTTATAGCTGCTGTTCATCCTACCACAAACGTCTTTCATTGGTGTGCTTTTTAATGGAATAACCATCCAACCAACGACACAATTTGTAATGTAATGTTTTATTATAATATCGTACATATGTTACAAAAAAGCATCCACTGCACCATGAGATGTTGCAAAGAGCCCGTATGATGTTACCGATTCACACCATCACAGCCACAGGCTCGCGTGTGTGGTGGGGACTTAGCGCCTACTGTGCAGACTGACAATACAAGTGGCACATAACACTCACAATGCCCAGACGCTGGTACTCCGTATAGCACCATAAATCAAGACTGCATTTACAAACGTCAAAATCACATAGCAAACGTGAAATCATTTTACAGGCATACGTAACATTGTCGCAAGTTCACATGGCATTTAGCTAATTAGAAGTAGATTTATGAGACGCAATTGACAGACATGTGAAAGACAATTCTAGATTTGAAGCTTTCGTGACTGCAAGGATTCATACTCTTTGGTTTCTTCGGTAAAGTCACGTAGGTGACGGCCATTTCCATTGCTTTCTAACAAAAATGGGGTTGTAATTGCTTTCGTGCAGCGTGCCATCGCTCCCCCCAAACACCCCCTGCAGCATAACAAAAGGCGGCTTAACTCAGCCCTCCTCCCCACCCACGTCCCTTTCTGGCTCCTCCTCCCCCCCCCTCTTAACCTGTATATAATCCCGGTCGTCTCAAGAGCTCCCCACTTGGTACAGCTATTCTGCTGTGACTGTTCCACCTGAAGACGGAAGCTTGTGTTGCCTCCGAAACGTCGTGATTTAATTTCGTTTTTTTCTTTTATTTTATTTTACCTACGTGACTTTACTGAAAAAACCAAAGAGTATGAAAGACAGTCACACAACATTGGTCTGCTGTATCAATGACCTTATATATTTGTGAGGTTATCCAGGGTGTGGCAAAGCTAAATATCACCCATGCATGTACAACATACCTTTTTTACCGCAAGCATCACTTCGACACAAATGCTAGTCTCAAATCGTAATTTAATTTAGCCAAGTGCTTATATGTAAGATATAAGCCGCACTAGCAAACGGGCAAAAACTTATTTTATGTTGGGAAAAGGAATGCCATGCCAACCAGGCCTTTCATAAAGTGTCCGAGCCTACTTTTTTTAAAGTTGTTCCAAGTATTGAGATAAACATGCCAGATTTGGAGCAGCCAATTGAGCATCATTGCATTGCATTTATACTATCTGTCTTGAATGCATCTCCAGTAACAACTATATAACCACCAGCCTCACCTCACGGATGTTAGAAATAAATAAGATCGTACAAAAAAAGTAACCGAGTGTATTTTGACATTACAATCCAATGGTGCAGCAGCTCAGTATTTATAAACAGACCAGGAACCACCTGAACCGCCTGACGATTAGCATCAGCCTACTACGAAACGAATGGTTACGGCACGGCCGGAGTTGAGCCCTTGTAGGCGTACTCCAGTGCGGTGGCGATGGTCCTCATGTCCATCTCAATGCTCCTCGCCCAGTTCTCCACGTCTCCAATCTCCTGTGATGGTACACAGCAGTTTCAAGCACATACATCAAAAACACACTGCCAGAGCTTTACCATGCTCAGCGTTCAGCTCCAACGTTCTACTCTTATCCAGTATTATTGTTTTGCATCGGGAATTCTGTTACGATGTATATTTTGAAAAGAGACCATTGTCGATTTATGATAGTGGTGGATTAAAAAAAATACTATTTATTTTAAAATATAAACAATCAGTAATGTAAATTGTAAAACAACGTGGAAGACAAAGCTATGTAATTTTGGTTCCATTCAAGTAACCTTGGCTAGGAGAAAGAATGTTGCTACTGACATTCAAGCAATGTAGCGGTGAAAATTACTCGGGTATGAAATGACAACTGCCTACTACACAACAAAGCTAATCTTCGCACCACAATTGCTACCGTGGATATTTTATAACACACGCCAGTTTTCCATGGGCCCTGAAATGGCAATAGACCTGGCAGCCAAAAATATTCAAATGCAAACATACCAAGCCCGCTTATTCAGCTGGAATAGGTTCCAACAATTGACAGATAATTTAATGAAAATGCAGTCATAACTCAGCTTGGGGAACAGCAGCCATTTCTCATCGGCAGGCAAATTTGAATATTTTTACCCAGAGATAACTTGAGCGCAGCCCAACCCAATGAGGATGTTTGTTGCCTATAACTATTACATTTGTTCATGAATAACTACAGTTGTTTCATACCACTATAAACCTACTACTATATAAAAAATACGCCAAAAATTATGGTGTGTATAAGTGGATTTAAATTTAAATGAATAGATAATAAATTATGCACATAGAAAATTTCGTCATAATTGTGCCGGTGGAATTATTGATCTAAGAATAGATATATTACGTAAACAAATTCAAAGGGTTATGGAGATACAAGTACTGGGCACGAGGGGTTCAGGGAGAATGGAACGTTGCGGTAGAACGACATATGAGGATAGTGGCGGGGACGAGAGAGGCGCAATGGAATATAAGTACATGGAGGGAGAAAATCCAAGAAGGCGACCTCATGCAACAACGGAATCTTTGGATGATAAGAAGAATATTAAAACGTTAAATGAATCGCAAAAAGGCTGGATTGACAGTTCCCTGAGCTGTAATCCCGCGGCGTCAAGGGTCACAGGATGCGTGTTCGCGCGTCCGGCGCATACTTTGAGAGCTTGGTTGAAATTCTCCACCATGTTCAGCCACTGCACCGTCTGCTTGGCAAACTGCGCCGCCTGCACCTGCAGGGTCTTGGCCTCGGCATCGAGACGCCGCTGGTTCTGGTACGCCTGGGCCACTCTGAGCACAGGCGGATAGACGGGAAGCACTTTTAGGTACTGCAAGCAGCGCAGCGCTGCACACAGCGGGAGTTTCTGTGAAAGGCATGGAGTGGTTATTTCACAAGGCAGCAGTCCCTTTCACTACCTAATCCTGCACAACACCAACGACAGCGATAACAACCGGAACCGAGAAGTTATTCTTACTTGCATCATAAAAGCTACGTGCTAGGGCCAGTGCAAAACAAGGCCTACGATATATATCCATGCTTATTTGCTTCATGTGAAATGTACATGTGTGCAGTAGCCGGTCATGCTCTCCATTTCCTCTGACCATAATTCCAAAGGATTACTCTGGATCATGGAAATACGTGACCCAACATGCCACTATTGATCATAGCCAGAGCACATATGCCTGTGCCAGAGGGCCGAGGCAGTCACACCCGTGCTACACACGACCATCAGAGACACAGTGGCGTTTATACATTTTCGGTACGTCTTTATGAGAAAACGAGTTTTCATTATTATAAGCACCCGACTTACAATTAATCAAGTTGTGCGATCCTTACAAAGACGAGAGGACCCATATAGTATCTACACGGAATGGCTATCAAATGAACATTTCATCAGTGAGATGAATTCAAAGTCATGAATCATATGCTCAGTACAGTGCTTTGTAAATCATCGAGAGAATGCTGAGAGCCTTGAAGCAGGGGCACAGTGGCTGGCCTCTGCTGCGTGCATTGACTCTACAGTGCTAGCGTGGAAAACAAGGTCTATTGTGGTGAAAATCACCCTCAGCAACCCCCCCCTCCAATACACTTCAGTAGCAAAACCCACACAGCAGGCTGTGCTGCTCATAGGAGCACAATGCTCGAATTTATGATGGGAGGGAAAGCGTCACTTCGTGCAGGGAGACCGCAACGGTCTGGACAAGCTAATAACATTCTTCAATCCTGCCGCATCGAGTGCTTAAAATGTATAGTTTCAATTATTACCCAAACGACTACACACTCTAAGCGAGCACGCACACGGACATCCATTTATTCTTAGCTCACCAATGTCCAAAAACGTGCTTTATTTGCACAATTCACGAATCACCTTTGCACAGAAGAATTCCACCTCGTGGACCATGCGCGCACACCTTCCCGCATCGGGCGCTTCTTCAAAATGACGATTTCACGAGGCACACACTGGATATCCCAGTCAATGGCAGGGGGGGGGGGGATGAACGCCATATAGCCAGCATGCACATTCTGTAGCGGTGGATTCCCCGAGTGAGGCAGGAAAACTAGTTGTCAGATACCACCCCTCTCCCTATTAGGTTACCCCTGGCTTAGTGCAGGGATGTTGAGGCACCTTGCAGATCTCAGCTGGTCTACTCAAGCCGGCCCACAAATCGGCTCAACGCGAGACGAAGGCAAGCACGCCTCTCTCACGGATGCTCCCCTTTGATATCAACAAACTATGCGACCGATACACAAAACAAGATGTACTTCACTGGACTCCTGTCTTGAAAAGATTAACGCACGTGTTCTTTATTTGGCCTTGGTCTCTTGATCTGGAGAAAGTAAGGCTTCAAAAGGGCATTACGGGCATCCGTTACAAGACCTTACATACCTTCAAATATATAAACAGACCAACTAACTTTGAATAAAGCCCTCTATAGCATACACTCTTGAATCATTCCTTATATAACCGGCAATGTCGTTGTTATTCTATACTTTGATCTCGATATGATAGAGTTACTGTATTACTGCCCGATTTTAATAATGCCATATACGGCCACAGGACAGGTCAATTATCCTACCAAGCAAAAGTTAAGTTTCAAAATTCATAAGCATTTTGTTTAACAAAAAAAAGTCAATGCAATGTTCTCGTATAACAACACCTTTGTTATTCTGGATGGTACTTCCTGTTGAGAAGAAAATTATTCTTGACAAAGTCAGACTTAATGTACGAGTAAGTTTAAGTTTGTTTTTGTTATGTTTGTAATGCTCCAATTTTATCGCTGGCTGAGGGGGGTTTTGGTTAGAGCGTGTGACTCGCTGAATCGGATAATTGTAAGTTCAAATTCCGATCACAGAACAATTGCAATTTGAGTTTAAAAGGCTGAGTACAAATCTGCACTGCACAGTCACCAATATCATCATCAGCCATGATCTATCCACTGCTAGATGGTGGCCTTTCCATGCTGATGTCGTCCCTCATGCCACAATACGTCTCCTGCTTCTGCACGGACCTATCACTCCATTTCTGCTCTGTGGAAGTCATTACTTGCATTTCTGTGGAGTATATCAGCCTTAGTCATATAGCATTTCCACCATTAATTCAGGGCGATAAACTTCAGATTAGCATTTCCCCATGCTGATTTTAGTGGGAAAGTACTAACCGATGAATACAGCATAATAAATACTCATAGACATGTATTTAATAAATGGCTTGCATAGCAGTGTTACGGTGAGGGTGGTGTGAGGGTAGTGATGCTGTGTAGGCAGTGACGCTGTGGGAAGGGTAGGCGCTGGTATCTTGGGACATTTCGTTAGGACCACATGGCCAACGTATCCCAGCTGTGGTGGCTGCTGTAATTCCCCATAGAAAATTCGAATTACTTACTGCTCAAGATCCAATTAGCCAGACCGAACTGTTGCTGTTGAGGCACCAATTATGTTACCACATCTACTATAAACATCTTGCCTTCAAGGATACCAATATTTTCTTTACGTCTTATATAAAAACAAATAATTCTTATATAGTATCCTCATGAACATTTACAGTACCCTAATGGAAGATGAAATACCGGGAAAATATTATGGTTTTTTTTTCCCCCCAGCTACACACTTCTCGATGGACAATGAACATACAGAACATGTGCAACGTGTGACCGGAAGAGATTCACAGCCGATAATGCACAGAACATAAATGGGCGACAATGAAAATACAACTTACTTTACGTGCAGGCATGCCCCATGAAAATCTAATTGAAGGGGACAAGGCTGAGAAAAGCTAGGGATGATTATATACACTGCACACGTGAGCATTTATAACTGACGAGTAAGCCCCTGCACACCACAGTAAGAAATACATAAACGATATAGCGGACGGACCAGAATGGAATTTTAGCCTGGGATCATAACGCAGTAGAGAACCTATATGCTAAGAGGACATTATTCATCACCAATAATTTTAACTGCACCACATAAAACATTCCCTCCATCCCACTGGGATCATCAATCCTTTGAGACACTTGGCACAGGCCTGAGAAAATCAGTGCAGGGGGACTGTGGGAAGCAGGGCTCCCTCATAAGAAGGTTCCCTCACGGCGAGCGTGGGACCAGTGAGGCCAACCGGAACCCCGCATCTGCTATATTTGTACGGAGCGTTGTGCCTAAAAGGAACAATAAAATAATAACCTTTTTTTTACTCAACCACAGCTCATCATGAATTATAAATAAACACATTGCGTGGGTTACCGCTGGGAAAGCTTTACCTTCATTAATGTAATCAAATACTGCTTCATGAGAAGATTTTTTTTATCATCTTACAATTCCCCAAAAAACTAAAAACCAAGCTGGTACTGCAGTTTCGACACACACACACTTGTGAACGAGTCACAGTGATGCGATTGATTTGTCTTAAGAGCACTTTGGAGTCAACTAATCTTTTCACAGCTTACAACATAGTGGGTTTGTCTCTGGTATTCCATGGGTTATCTTACAATCGCCGATTACATTCTCTTTGTCATGAAACAGTCACAAGTGGACACATTGAATGTTCCATATCGACCAGGACATATATTTTATTCACATATCCTTCCTTTGAATATTCAACAACTCCAAATTTTGCAACATCATTCTTTAAAGCAACGTGAAGCAGGAATCTCGAGGTAGATAATATTTGTGTTGCTTTCGTGTGCCAATCCGCCAGCCACATGTTTCCGTTTTGTTATCATTGGCCACACCTTTTCGGCCATGAGCTTTATGCATCACTCGAAACGAGAGCTGAAGGAAGATCAGAAAAGGATGGGTGCAGTAAACTCTTTTGCGCACTGCCAAACACCGAAGACGATTCCCGCATGGACGGAAGGCCCATGTCAGGGCGTTTACCTTCAAATACAATAAACAAATGGAACCTGGGACGCAAGTGAAATACATTTACGGACTTCAAATACTAAAGCTTCATTTTGAAACAATGACATTTTTAGTGACCATGAATCTGCAGTGGCTGAAGTGCTCTGTGGAATGTTCTTCTAAAGGTTAGGGTGAAGACTCCTTAAGGCCTGGGCACAAAAGAGGAAAACATTCCAACATGCCACACTGAAAAGGAGAAAAAAAATAACAGGTGGCCACTATCCAATGAAGTTATCCAGTACAATGAAATGACTAACGGAACTGGCACGAAAATAAAACACACATTTCAGCGGGACAGTAGAAATCGTATCTGCTATGATACCAGCGCCAAGGTTTATAATGTATATACAGTATCCGGAAAACATCACAAATTGCTTTGTTAAAAGAGGACGGTGGTATAGTCGAAGAATACAGGAAAGTATTACAGTACAGTGGGCAGTAGAAGCCAGTAGAGCAATATATGTTTTTATTGTACTATACTTCTATGCTCTCGCGTCTCTGCTCGCTGTCTTTACCAACCAACACTGACTCGTGTGATAATCCCCACGGCCCACACAGCGTGGGAGATGCCCTCTGTACGCGTACATTGCAATAATGAGTTATCCCTGACGGCAATTTTAAACAAGTCAAGGACTTTACGTAGAAAAAAAATTCCTTCGCTCTTTCAGCGCAGTGCTCATGCTAGCGATTAGCCTTGTAAGCGCAGAGCACACATCAATAGGGGCCAGTGTAACTCCACAACACTGTACATTCATGCCACCAAATAAGGTAAGGCTGGACATGTAATGGAACGCTAGCTTTCCATTTTGCTACATTTCCAGCATTAATAGGTTTTAGGGGGAAAAAAACACGTGAGTTACTGCAAGTGCACAAATGCAGTTTAAAAAACAGA